TCCAGAGCATTTATTTTTTAAGAGACTCTTCCATTTTATTCTGCTTTCAGCACTCTGGAAGCACCAGAACGTGTTTTTTAATTTAATTATTACTGCCCCTCACTTCAAACTCCTTCTCCTCAAAACTGAGGAAATGCGGTGCAGGGAACTTTGCAGACATCTCTCCATCCATCAGCAGCCATCTCTGACTAAGGGTGCACGTCCTCACAGACAGGTCTAACAGCTTGGAAATTCAACATAGGACCTGCATGAAATCTTTACATGGAACAGAGGCTGTAGTACTCTACACAGTCAGCTTTTTCTGAAAGCCACTGGTATCTAGGACTAAGAAGGTAATGATGCAAGAAGTCAGGATAAAATTTAGTATCTGCCACTCGCACTGTGAGAAAAGGTAAGGTGAAGCAGAGGAAACTTCTGTTCCTCAGAGCACTGACAGCACAGCAAATAAACAAGGAGCAACTGAAGAGTTTTAACAGTCATTACTACAAATCATTTCACCTCTACATGCCATTATTGACAATACATATATATGTGACTCTTACAAACATTCCTTTAGGATACACATACACACACAAACAAATGAATATGTCTTATCAAAATCCCTGCCTTTTATGGCTAATACCAGCATTATCCAACACTCCAGCATATACCACACTCCATTTAAAAAAACATTTATATACTTTAGTTTGTATTTCTCTTCACAGTCTTATACAAACATAGTACTTCATCCACCACAGAAACATAACCAACCATGGCACGAAATGCAGCTGTTTAACAGCTTTTGGCAAATATACAGAAAGGCTTTATGAAAAGACTGGCCCAGGTAGCCAAAGTTAGGATGAATTACATAGTGAGAATATTATTACCTGAGCTCAAAATTTGATCAGGATATTGAATTAACCGATTATCCAAACTGCCATGATGCTTTTATCCTGGTTTAATAAATTAAAAAACAATCAAACCCTATGTCAACATCTAAATCATCTGTCTCCTATTCATTTCCTTCCCCCCAATTCAACAGCTTTTGAGTTTCTTGGCCAATTTCAACCAAATTCAACAGATAAGTGGAGATCTCAAATACTATTTTCCTACGAACTTTCTGAAAATGAGACAAAGGGGAAAATAACAAATGCCATTTATGTCTCGACTGAGAGACTGCAATGGGCAAGAAGACCTTATTAGATATCAGAAAGCCTGTACAAGAGAAAGACCTTGTTAATGTCTCTGTAACAAAAACCCTTCAGTCAGCGCTCGTTAAACATGTGCGACAATCAACTTTGAGAAGTAAGTCCGAAGGAAATCCAGCTTCCTTAATTCCAAGTCATGAAAATAATTAAAAACTGCAAGAAGTCAGGACCTGGGATTTGTATCTCATGTAAAAGGCATTACTTTCCACAGGAACAAATAAATCTCACAAGGCTATTCAGGCAAGAGGATCTTTGTACATCCAACTTTCTGTGCCTTTTGACAGAGGCTTGGGTTTGTATGATACACTATAGCCAGTTCTTTCTTTCAGCTGTTCCTCCAAAACTCTTTTCCCTTAGCTTAAAACATACATTTTGTGTGAGTATTCTCAACACTAAGTATAATCACATATCTGTATAATTACAAACTATTACAGTAAGTATAAATATTGTATCTTTACATTATTACTAAAGCCTTATGATTATGAATAAAACTCAAACCACTGAGTTTCCAACTGCATGCTATTAGCAAAAGTATAAAGGTTTAGAAAAGAGATTTTAATTGGTTCCCTCTAATGGTGGGCTTAATTTAGATCCTTTTATTTTATTTTAACTCCATATAGTGGTTCTTACCCTTTGGTGGTATCCTAGGACCACTTTTTTCTTCATTACATAATTGAAAGGAGGTCTGTAACTAATAGCAAATTTGTTTAGAAGGTAGACATTCATCTCAGCCTTAGTGGCATCATTTGTGACTGCATTACAACCAAAATCTCCAAAATCTTAGCTGACGACAAATTTTCAGAACTCTATGGCACAAAGTTAATACAGTTCACTCAAAGGGATTACTAATTTGGAAGTGGCTAGGCATGTCAGAAGTCATCTCTCCAAACACAGATAGCATCAGCCATACTTACCTATGTCCCCTCCACAGAAAATGGAGATAGACGGACACTTCTGGGACATGAATCACCTCCTCCTCAAGCACAAGGAGATTTAAGACAGAAATAGTAAAAACACCCATTCCTCTATAAAAGGAGCCCAGTGGACTGGTGTTGATGCAGTAAAATCACATTCCTACTCTTTTGCAATATCCTGTTTTAGGAACTTATGTTCTGATTCATAATTAAGTATGCAGTGCAAGCACCTGTTGGTGGCCAGACACCAAGTATCACCCAACAAATCATTTGATAATGAGTCAGTAATCCACTGATACCCAGTTAGTAATTCTCTTTCAAGTGGTGAAATTATCCAAGAGAAAATGTATTTGAATTCAAGGAGATTACAGAATTGTCAAAGGAGTTCTATATACACATAATTATATGCTCTATATTAATTCAAGTATGCTTCACAGAAGTTAGAACTGATTTTGGTCACATTTCATCAGGTGTTAGGTTAGGTTATTATCACACTATCAAGCCAAAAAGAAGTGTTCAGCAGAAGCATGGATCCATTCTTGAGTAAATTTAACTTTCAGTATGTGATAGATATACTGAGAAAAATTTATAGCCCCAAACATCAGAGGTTTACTACTACAAATGATATATTTATATAATTACAGTAATATGATATTGTAAAAGATTTAAAAAGTACTAAGAGTTAGCTTCTCAATATTGAAAAAATGCAGGTTTAAACTATGCAACTTAATGCTGCATTTAATTGTAAAAACAAGTATAATTAAACTATCAGAATTGAAAATAATTTTAATTAAAGATAAACACATAATTTAGGCTCTAAAATAAATCACATAAGCATCAAAAATGATCCTTATATAATGCCAAAATCCATCTGAAGTGTTGCACGGCAAATCAGATGGGGGAGAAGCTCAATACAAGCACGTAATAAGCAAAGAGCAAACAAACCCAAACTCAATTATTTACATGCTAATATTTTCATACAGATATAAAAATAAATATTAAAAAAATTGTTACGTACCGTAGGGATTTGAAACAATGTGGTCTTCTGAATAAACTACAATCAGTCTCTTTCCAAGAGAGAAACGTCTAACTTTTCCACTACTTTCAAATCTGGAGTGGAAGATATTTTAGGCCTGGCCAAATATCAGTGGAAGAAAATTCACTCACATGTTTGGCTGTGTTTTGCATTCCATCCTGTTGCTCTGGCACAAAGATGTAGCTAATTATAATCTGTGACATAAGCGGCTAATTCTACTGCTAAAATGGTTGTGTACTGATTCCAGAAATGAACTGCCCCACTGTAAGACATAACCAATCCACAGTGTGCACTGAAATGTCTCAACCTGTCACGTCATGCCAACTGCTTTATTAGAATCTGAGACTATGCAGCACTTCATAGAATCTGCAAGTAAAAACTATTATCAGAGTTTGCTGCTAACAACACATAATGTAAAATTAGAAACAAAAAAGGCTCTGCTTTCTTCTCTGAATCCCTATGTAACTTTCAACTGAATTTTAACAGTTGATTTTGAAAAATTTTCATTTTCTTGCTAACATAATTCTAGCTATAATCTAAACTGGGTGGCATATAAAAAGTCTCTTTAAAAGAAGAAAATACATATATTATAATATACCTATAATAGCACATATAAATTTTATACAGAACTACAGTAACAATTACGAATTTTTCCAAAAAGCTAAGCCTATCTTGGTATAAAAGACAGACGCACATAAATACTAAGAGCTATATATATATATAAAGTTGCATATATTTATATTATAGAAATTATGAGACATATTTTTTCAGTATTATTTAAGCTCTGAGTTCTCAAAAGTAGAAAAAAGAATTTCAGGCCAGCACTGCTTACATTAGACTGACTACACAACACTAGCCAACAGACTTTCTGTTCAACCTACAATATTTTAGAATCTGTTCTGGTAGCAGTCCACAATTTAAAAAGCATTAAAACATACATTTGTAAGATTTACAGAATAAAAATGTTGTGCTATGTAAAGCATTGCAATCATTGTCCATATGTCTGGACAATTTCATTTCTCAAAGCACATTTCCTTTTTTCCAGCCATGCCCTCACACTGTTATCATACTTCAGAAAATGAAGCTCCTATCAGACATTTAACAGCTGCAGATCATAAATTTAGGACTGACATAAATCCAACTGATCCCAGGCTTACAAGGTAGTTTTTTCCCTTTATGAATTTGGTGGCCATTACTCCTTTATCAGACTCTGTTTACATATACAAATGGAGTTCTTTTCTATACTAAGGAATTAATTCACTGGTATCTGACAAAAAAGACAAATATTTTTCATAATACAATATTTAACAATAGCTTTAAAACTGCTTTTGTCTTTAATCTTGGGGATTTAAAAAAGATAAAGGATGAGGAAAGCACTTGTATGTTGTGTTAACACCAAAGCTCTTATTTAATTGAAATTCCTTGTAAGTATTAGGGGAAGAAATCTATAAATGACAGATAGTCTTGAAAGGTTCATTCTTTAGGTGATTGGGATTCATGTCTAGGGACTTCCTGCAAACTCTTTTGCTCATTCTTGGAGAAAATAAGAGAATCAGATAAAACTGGATACATGACCCTCGAAAGAGCAACATTTTAAACAGCATTTTAATATGTCTCCTTTCTGGTATATTTGTAATTATTTGACTTCTGAACTTATAAAAAAGGATTGACTAACATAGTGCCCAGCTATAGAAAGATTAGATTGTATCACCCAGTAGCTCTCTTTATGGACAGAATTTTGTGTTATTTTCTGCATATGATTACTGCTCTTGGTCTAGATGCGTGATATCCTTTGTCTTGCTCTTCTACCCATCTAATTTCTGAAAAGTAAAAATTATAAAAATGAAAAGAACAAATAAATACCTCAGTTAGAATCTTCTGAAGTTCTCATGAAGTAGGACTGAAGCAAGAGCAACTGTCAGTGAGTTCTGTATCATCTGAAGGCAGCTGTCTTCCTATTTAAATGCAAAGAAGGGAAAGAGAAAGCAAAATTTTTCATGAGAATGGAGAAAGAATAAGATATATTTCTGAATTGCCCTTCTGACTACTTTAACTGACAACATCTTACAAGTGATACACCAAAATTCACTGAGCTTAAAATTGTGGAACACAAATGAAACACTAGACTCCCAACACCTGTTCAAACTGCATATATTCATGACAGCAGAGTTTACAAAAAATGAGAAATAAAAATTAGTCAAAAATCTATGTGCAAAATAATAAAGAATATTTCTGTTGCAACCATAAGATTAGAATACATTAGTATAATGAACAGTAACTTCAATTATGGAGTTACACTGCATTTGTACAAAAAAACTAAATCTTTCTCTCACTATTCAGAGTTCAAAAATGCAGATGTTCCATTCCTCAACAAAACCTGCCAGCTTCCTTTCCAATTGGATTTTGAAAGTCAATGACTGATGACGTAGTCCTGTAAAGGTAACTAAGCAAACATATTTATCTTCTGCATTGTCAGCACCCACTCACACCAGCACTTGACTGACCAGAAGTACTTGCAAACTTACAGCATGAAAAAACTATGGAAAAAGATAGGTAAATTGTGGTTTGAATATTCTGCCATTTTAATCCATTCTATTTTTTTTCCCCTCTAATTTTGTTGAAAAAAGTTCTGTGTACATCTACAAGATTTCAAGAATATCTGCTTATTCCTCAAAGTACAAGAATAAAATGGTGGAAAAGACAATGACTACCAGCTATGAGTTTAACTAATTCATCTAACCAAAAAGGGCATAGAAGCCATTTGGCCCTGTCAGATATTTTTAAGTCTCTGAGATGTTCAAAGACTGTGATAAGGATTTGGTAAGCAATGGGTATTTAAGGAACAAGAATATAGAGAGTATGGGAAACAGAATTTATCTGAAATACTGTAATTATGCAGTAAACAGTAAAAATAGCTAAAAATAGGTTGTACAGATGTGTAACTCTAGATGATATGAGAGGCCTTTTTCAACCTAAATGATTCTAAAACCAGAAGTTTTGCCATATGAAATACCAAAAGATCCCTTGCTAATGGTTCAGAAAGGCCAAGTAGTGTAGCAAAAGCAAATTTACATTAAAGAAAAAATGGCACATATTTTGGGAAAAAAGTATGAATGCAAAAATCAAAACTAACCAAATTCCCAACCAATTAAAATGGAGGATAATTTTATTAATGGTCAAAAAATATAAAAAGTAATAATTTACTGGACATCTACGGACAGGGGAAATGTCTGAGTCTCCTTGGTTCTTGTTCTTTTGCATTTTAGTTACTTATGAACTTGAAATGATGTAACAGAAAAATCACCTTTTCAAAAACTATTTTTTCCAGTTCTCCTGACTTTCCACTGCGATTAGAGGATCCAATATGATACAAAACAAGAACTGTTAGAATAAATTTTTTTTGTGTTTCCTTCCAAGAAGAATTTGAGTTGGCCATGTTTGATGTGCTTTTTAAATTTGTAAGGGATAAGACAACCAGCCATTTATTGACAGATCAAGACCTTGCCTCTTCCTAAGAATAGGGCTACAGTTAATATTTAGAAAAGGATGTAATCTAAATGTGAGCAAAACAGTGAGCCAAAAGAGCATTATATCTTTCCCATATAAATAGAAGTAAACATTTGAAAGTTGCTCTTGAACTTACTAAAGCTATAAAAATGTACTTGTTTTAAACAAAGTGGAAAATATTTCAATAGGAACCTTCTGAAATATAAACACATGACCCACAAATATAAGGCTTTAAGGGAGATCTGTTTAGACTGTTTCATTACGTGGTATCTATATGGAGGTTCAAAACAGCTTTGAAACTCAGAATATTTATGTTTTGTTTAAGGATGGACAAGAATAAACTAAAAGAGAAAAATCTGAAAATTACTATGCAAGACAATATGAAAATAAAAGAATTTATTCATAATTATCCAACTACTCTGTGTGTCAGTGCACAGCAGGTCCTTCTCTCTGGTTTCTAGAAGTTTTTTCCACTTTCTAGAAGTTTATGTGAGCATAAAAAGCTGGTTGTGGGTCTATTGTCTGATTCTCCTACCAGTATTTCAATCTCTGCTTCAGCTGTTATCTCTCTGTTCCTTGTTGCCACACCCATCTTCTCTATCCCTTTTTTACCACATTCAGTCACCTGGACTTTCCTCCCCAGTACACTCAGTGGTTCCAGAACAGGAATAATTTTCACTTACTGTTCACCAGCTCAAGTCAATCTCTTCTAAAATTAACATCGACACAAAATTAATTTATATTAAACCAATTCAAACTGTCACAGAGGGTTTTTTTTGGGGAGAGCATGTGCTAAATGGTATCTTCTGCTTGGATTGCGTCTTCACATAATCTGATTAAAAATTATTTAATTTCTGTGGGTTTAATTCTGTATGAACCTTTAAAGATTACAAGAATCTTTACGGTATGAAGCAACAAGTAAAAAGGTGCATGGGTACTCTGTGCAAAGATGAGCCTGACAGGTGCCTTGGAATAGAGGCGAGATGGGATAAATTTCTTTTCTAAGAGCAAACAAGCAAGCTCATTTTTGTAGATCCTTTCAAAGAGTCCAGCTGAGGGAGCAAATACTAATCTAGAGTCTGCAGCTTGCACAGACTGGAAGACACAGACCTTGTACTGAGCAGAAAATGTTGCCTGACTTAATATTAGCGAGGAAATAAAAACATCAAATATTAAATATCAAAGCAGGTTTGGAATGAATTTGTCTTATTGTATTGTTGGTATAATTTAAGCATTCTTCTAAGCACAAAATTTAAGTACTGTGGCTTGAGGAAGTTAATTGTTAGCTTTTTTCAGGAAGAAAACAAGAAATGTACGCTTTGGTTTATATGAAACTCTCTAATATACCAGACCGGAAAGTGGAGCAAAGCACTTTTTCGGAGATTCACTGTTTTGTGCATTCGGATTTTTATTTTAGGATATGATTCATTGTGCACCTACTCACAGCTCCATCTGCAAGCACTCTGTGACAGGCACAATAGTGTATTCACAGGTCTATTTCATACACCATGTCAAATCACTTCTACAACAGATGTCAAAAGCATTGACAATGAACAGAGAACGTTTCATGTTCTTTGGTGATAACATTTCCTCTTACATCATCTGACCTTTACTAAAAACAACAGCAAAACCCCAAACCCACAGTGAACATCCACAGTAGGATAGTCTAGCCTTCCACCTTGGGATATCTGAACTCTGGGGCCTTTAAGAGAAACACACAGCTGTCACCCAGCACAGATGGTTGTATAAGACAGAAAACTGATTGACTGTCCCTCCATGGTAGAATAGATGTAATAGGTCTTGGAAGCACTGCCTCTGTACTCATATGCTCATATTGCAAGAAGGTTTGTACAGATACAAACCCTAAAGAATACAATGAGTTTACCACTCTCTTTTGCTTTCTTCCTATTTCTTTTATCTTCTTTTATTTTTCTTGCTTCCTTCCCTATTCACTAACAGAGCAGAAATACCGGTGATCAAGAGATATAAAGGCCTGCAGTTTCATTTTATCATTAAATGTTATTTTTTGGTAACATAGCATATATTTAATTCTGAGATAATAAAGCAGGTGTATCTAACCTGCATTTGAAACAGAAGTGTATAAAAGCATCTCAAACTCAGTGTAAATCCAGTTATTCAGTGTCCCCTTCATTATTTAGTTTTTTTATTCAGTACCACCATGCACCTTCTCAGAAAAAAAAAAAAAAAAAAAGAAAGATTTAAGGCACACAAGAAAAAGGTTTCCTGTTTCAGAAGATTTAGAAGAATAGAAGTGGCACTACAACAGAACCCAGAGCTCATGCCCTGAGACACGCAATGCCCAGAATTTAGTGGATTGTAATTTTATATTTGGAGCAACTGACTATTAAGTTATTTCCATAATAGGAACCTGCATTAGTTTAATTTTCTTAAAACTTCAGTAATCAGTAACAGTGATAAAAAGATGGAACACTGGTTAAATATTTAGGAAAACAATACAGTATTAATATGGTGCTTCTTCACTGTTAAACAAGTGGAAAAACTTCCTGTGGGATTGCCAAACTACAGAACAGCATGTATGCTCAAAGAGAGAGAATGAGTTAAGACTGGTTGTTTAGCTAGTATAAATAAATGATTACATACTTAAGAATTTGTTATGAGACCTAAAGAGACCTTCTTTAGTTTATTTTGTAAGCTGAACCTGTGCAACAAAATATCAGAAGTACCTCCATAAAAAATGAACTAAAATTTAAAAGCTGAAAACCCCAAAGAAAATAAATAAAATTGAAGAAGAAGTTAACCCAAAAGTATGTTTTAGCTAAAATGTAAAGTCTGGTCATTTACCTAATTAAATCTTGATCCAAGTGAAATGAGGACTTGGTATAAATCAATGAGAGAGCAAAACAAGAAACTATATCCTAAATTTTATTTTGTAATCATCAAGTCAAAATGAAGCTGTAATTGTTTTCATTTTACATGAACGTATATCCTAAACTTTATTTAGTAATAATCCACACAAAAAGAAGTTGTAATTGTTTTCATTTTACATGATTGCTTCTGTTCACGTTTTGATAAATATTTAGTGTAAAAGGGAATTAGGTGTAATGAAGGCTTCAGCTGTATAAAAAATTTACGTGAGTTTACATGATTTATTTATAGATAATTCTCTTATATTTACACATATAAAACAAAACTTTAAAGTGGATCTGCTTAAACCTTTCCTTTACAGTGAGTAAACAACATATTATAGAATAGAATGTTTATTTTTTAAAATAGAGAACATGGGATCAGGGAGTTAAGACAGAATATAAATAGAAGAAAGTTTATGAACAGGTAATTTCCTGGCCATTTCTCTTTGCTCAAAGAACCCTCCCTTCCAGACCTGATGTCTGTCCCCTCAGTAATTTTATGAGTTGCAGAAAACTCTGAAGTTCCCTTCAGAATCAAGGAGGTTTCTATTTTATCACCT